CCTTGATGTGCTTGGGATGGCCTGGTAGACACGGGATACCTGGAACATATGGGATACCTGGAGTACATGGGATACCTGGTGTACGTGGGACACCTGGTGTGTGTGAGATACCTGGTGCATGTGGTACCTGTAGGAGAGCTCAGTCTGGGGTCACTGGAGAGCCTGAAGAAGACTTGAACACTGGGTGGTAACTGCTCCCAGCAATGATCAGGGACCTCTTGAGGAGCATCATGGGGAGCACAGGGCAGAGAATCGAGGGAGAGAGAGGACCCTGAGGGCTTGGGACAGAAAATACACTATGGGAGCATCACATCCCCATCAGGGCAGGGGTGAAGGTGCCACAAAGGCACAGGCTGGGTGAGAAACATGTCTTGCAAAGGCAGGGTGTGACTTGGCAAAGGAGCCAGTGCTCCAAGGGCTTTCTGGGGACATTCACAGTCTGCAGGGTGCAAGTCCTTTGTCACTTGATTCCCCTCAACAGGGATGTAGCAGTGGGGTTTGGGCAGGATCCAGCTCCAGAGCTGTACCATGGGTACAACAGTGCCTGGGCACTTCCCAGGGAGCTAGATGATGGAGTTAACAATTGCCCAGCAAGGAAATGCCTGTATTGCACATCCTTTTGTATTCCAGTGTCTCCTCACCCACCCTACTCAGGTTCCTCAGGAGCTCAGGTCAGGACCTCACCTCTGGAGCCAACACTGCTGGAGTCACATCTGCCTTCTCTTTTGGGAGGGGGATGTGGCTTCAGGCAGGGACCTCATCAGGACAAACGTGTTCTGTAGAAGAAGAGCTGCTGTGGAAGTGTGGGGAGCCCACAGATCATGGAACCATGGAATTATTTGGGTTGGCAGGCACATTAAAGATCCTCTAGTTTCTGTCCTCTTCAGGGACACTTCCACTATCCCAGGTTGCTCCAAGCCCTGTCCAACCTGGCCTTGGACACTTCCAGGAATCCAGGGGCAGCCACAGCTTCTCTGGGCACCCTGTGCCAGGGCCTGCCCACCCTCACGGTGACGATGCACAGGGACAGCCAACACTCGGCATTCGCTGTGCACAACGGGACCTGGGGAGTCATGCCACGGGAAGTCACTACCCTGTCCTACTGTCCCCTTCAGCTGGGGTGAGGTGCCAGATCCCTGCTCACTCCGAGCGCTGGAGAGCCCCTGGAGATGCTGCTCCTGCTCGGCGCGGGGCCGGAACCATCTGCATCAATGAGTCAGCAGGACCCACTTAACACTTCCCCAGCAGAATCTGCTCCTCTCTCCCGACAGAATGGGCAGCTCTGGCAGGCTCTGGCAGCGTGTTACAATCTCAGCTCATTAAGGGACGCATCCTGAGTGCTTTATTGATGTTTTATGCTGCCTGGCTCCATCTTCAGAGGGAAACTCTCATTGCAGTCAATGACTACACCTCCGGCTGCTGCAGGCTGAGCTCGGAGCTCCGGATCTGGCTCCCAGAGAGGCAGGCTCAGCTCCCATGGCTACACTGCAAACCGTGGGGTTTGACCCCAAAGTGGGCACGAAACGTCTCAGGGCCAGCATCCCTCTTTTCTTTCCAGGACTAGGGAACACTCAAAAGAAGAACACAGGGGAGAAGTTGTTTTTTTCCTTGCTTATCTCTCTTTCTGTTAGAAGGAGCTGCATGACAGGGAAGGGAAATGATGTTTCCTCTCCCCCAGCACTGCCATCTGTTCAGCCGAAGCCCAGCCGGGTGGGTGTACCCGGCCTCCTCCTCTCCCAGCGTGCTGGGAGCCACATGTCCCCACCTCGGGAGAGTCACAGTCCTTTAATAAGTTCCCCAGTGCTGGCTGTTGCTTCTGAAAAGCTCGTGGCACTGTCTGGCTTCAAGTGGCTTTTACATAATACAGACTGTCAGGCTAGATGAGCATCACGGTCCCTTCTGGCCCTAAAATCTGTGAATCTCCAAATTAGAGGGCACCAGCACCTCCTTGTTTCTGGCTGATTGAATCAGGGGAATCGTGTGTTCTCTTTCTCCTCTATTTTTTTTTTCCTCCCTCCCCTGTATCATCTCTAACTGGAGGTGAATTACTCTCCCCCTGAGCCCAAGCTTGGCAAACAGCAGCAGGAGAGACCAGGCAGCTTCAGCCTTGCTCTGGGATATCCTGCTCTCCTGCCCAGTCCAGGGCTGATTCCCAGGGGTGAATTGTCTGACTGTGGGCACGGCAAGGCCTGGAGCTGGTCAGGCTGAGAGGCAGATGGAAAATCTGTGTGGAAAATGGTGCTGAGGCCTCTTGATTATTTTAAAATCCCAAATAAGTTCTCCAAGCTTCAGACCAAGCTCCTTGGGATTTGTGACCAAGGTGTGGATGTAGAGAAACACTTTTTGGGGAGGGAAATGAAAGTGAGCAACTCCCCATGTTTTTGGGGGTGTTTGAGATGTGTAGGGGGAATGGGAAGAGCAAAGCAGGGAGAAATTGCTGATGATCTGGGAGGATTGGTGGGGATGGGGGTTCTCCAAATTCAGGGGTCTGCAACAGGAGCTGGGGCCCTGCTGAGCAGGCTCAGCTGGAGCTGGGAACTCGGGGATGTCCACCTCGATTGTCTTGGTGCTCTCAGCTGCACTCAGGACATGCACTGAGAGCCTCAAACAGAGATGGAACACCCAGGAGCTGCTTCTCCCCATCCTTTTGGGCAGGACCCCAGTGGTGTTCAAGGTGGCAGATTTCCACTGGGATGAGGAGTGGGAGCAATCCCAGAGGAGAGCTGAGGAGCTGGGGTGGGGTGCAGGCAGGGGCTGTGCAAGGTGTGGGGCACAGTGGGGGCTGTGGGAAGGGTGCTCAGTCCCTGCTCCCACACCCCCCACACGGGGAGAGGTGGCCAGAAACCTGCAAAAGTCTCACACCTTCCTCTCCCATGCTCATCAGGAAGAACCACATCTCTCTCCCAAAAGCCAAAACCCCTCCTAAGGAGGGGGGCTCCATACCAGACCCTTTCTTTGGGGGAGGCTCTAAACTTTCCTGCTTTGCAAGTGCACTCAGGTTCCCAGCCCTCCTCTCCAGCGGTGCCGTGGTCAATAACTCACCGGGAGACTGCTATTCTCCCTGCGCTTCCCACCCTCCCACTCCTCCCGGGAGCTCTGCATTCATGCCTTTTTGGCCCTCCCTCGGCAGCGAGTGAGGAATAAAGCGGCGCCGGCTGAGCACGACGCAGGCTGTGCTGGGATGCTGTGAGCCAGCGAGGGAAGCCTGAATCACCAGCACCTCAAGGTGGGAGTGAGAGATTTGGGCTGGGAGAAAGGGAGGACATCACACGTGCTCCCGGGAGTCAGGTGCTCTCAGCCAGTTGGCTGGGAATTGGGCAACTCGGATCATTCTGTGCTTTAAAAGACGGAACTGAGGGCGATGGGGAGAAGAGGAGGGGCCGGTGGGAGCGCAGAGGGATTCAGCCTGAAGGCTCTGAGCTGGAGCCGAGGATGAGGGATGCTGTCAGGGACTCGTTCTTCCTGGAGAAACTCCTGGAGGAGCATCCCTGGTGGCATCCCATGGAGATAGAGATCTCCAGCCTAGAAATGCCTAAAAATGAGACTGCAAAGGCTCAGCTGGGCACCGTGTGGGAGAGTGGAGTCACTGGCCCCAGCTGAGGGGATTCCAGTGCTTCTGCTGGCATCAGATGGGAGGAAGCCCCTGAAGTCTGTGGGATCGTCCCAGTTTGTCCCCATCTGTTACAGCCACAAGCAGCAGAGCTGGATTTATCACTCTTATTCCAGGTCCTTCTCTTCCCCTCTGTCCCCATCCTGCTTTCACACACTCAGACGCTGTGTTTGCCATCCAGCCTGGGGACCTGCCCACCCTGAGGGGGTCCCGTGCTGCTGTGCACCTGGTGGCGGGGGGGAGGCTGAGGGCTTGGTGGTTTCATCTTCACATGTCTGAGACAGATTCTGAGTCCTCCCTGAGCTGGGGCGATCACTTTGCTCACCTGGTGAGCACTCCCAGAAAGAATGGGTGATCACCCTGGAAGTGTCGAGGGAAATGGAGAGAGGGTGGGGGCTTTGCTGGGCTTCACAGGTGACGTCCAGTGTCATCAGCGCGGCCTTGTGTCTTTGGGACTCTCAGGCCAGGTCTACTTTACAATGAATGGGGGTGAGGGGTGTCACAAGGACCCCTGGTGCTCCTGAGCCACAGGCAGGAAAGCAAGGGACTTGGGAAAAGCATGCAGCGACTTGGGGAAACCTCTGGGATGGAAGATCCAGGTCCTGCTTGGACCTTGAGTCCAAGCTTTTTGTTTCTGGGAGAGTGGGATGTGTGTGGGCTGGTTCTGTGGGTCTCAGTATGGAAAAGCTGCTTTCCAGCCTCTCTGCCGAGTGTCTCTCTGCAGGGGCTAATTCAGGTGTGGGTTTGGACTTTTGGGAAGTGCTGGAGCTGGATGGCACCTGGGCTGTCCTGGGGGCCTCCTGGGAAGAGGTGAGGTGGGAGAAGGTTGGACTCGATGACCTTAGAGGTCTTTTCCCACCTTTTCCATGATTTAATGAGGTGACTGAGGCCGTTTCGCGGCAATTTATGGATCAAACCCAAGGTGATGGATCCTGATTGCTGCCGGCTCCTTTGCGGAGCAGCCCGACAGGACCTGCCCCCGGTGTCACACTGACCCCGACCCATCCCGTGATGCTGCTGTGTCCCCGGGGGGGGCTGTCCCGGTGGGCGCAGGGGCAACACCGGTCCGGGGTGCGGGAGGACAACCCGGGGGGCGCAGGGAGGGACACGGAGCCCGGGGCAGACGGAAACGTTTAAATAGCGGCTGAGCATCCCGCGGCGGGGCTGGGCGGCAGCGGCGCCTGGGGAGCGCTGCGGGGCTCTGCGGAGCCGCTAATGGGCCGAGTCCATTTCAGCGGGATGACGCCACTTGGGTAAAGCGTTAAGAGCTCCGGGAAGGCAGCGCAGAGCGAGGGGGAGCGCGATGCTCCCGGGCAGCGCCAGGTCCCTCCCTCCTCCCTCCATCCCTCCTCCTCCTCCTCCCTCCGCCCAGCCTCCCATTCCCACCGAGCGCGGCCCCCCCCGCCCCGGGGCTGCCCCCGCCGCGCTCGGGCTCCGCGGGCGGATGGACCGGCGGCGGCTGCGGGGTGAGTCCGCCCGGCGCGGACACGCGTGGGCTGCGGGACGGCGGCGGAGCGCGACGGGGGGACACTCGTGGGCCGAGCGGGCGGGGGTCCCGGGCACTCGTGGGCCGTTCCTGAAGGGACGCGGGTCCCTGGATGCGCACGGGCTGTGCGAGGAAGCTGCGTTTCCGTGCGGTGGGGGTTGGGTCCTGCACACGCGTGGGGTGCGCGCGGTGGGGCTGGGGCCGCGTGTGGGTCCGAGTCACGCGTGGGTTGTCCTGTGAGTTGTCCCGCACACGAGCGGGCTGCGGGCGCGGCGGTGCCCGGGAATCGCGGGGACACGGGGGCTGTCTGTGCGTGGAGGGGCTGCGGGACTGTGCCGGGTGCGAGCCCCGCGTGGGCTGCGCGCTGAGTGGGACCGGGGGCTCAGCCTCCCCCCAGCACCTCGCTCCACACCGCAGCACCCAGACAGGGCGAGGGGGTCCCTTTTCTCCCACCTGACGCCCTGAGCCGCTTGCCCCCGGTTCGCAGCCACCTCCAGCCTGTAAATAATTTGCTTTTACGATCCCTCCTCTGGCCCATTATCACACGAACTTTATATGTTTGAGGCTGGTGGTGGCCATAAAGCTGGCCCGGTTTCCGGCGCTGGCGTGCCCGCCTGGCAGGCAGGGTGTGAGGAGGAGAAGGCTGGGGAGACGCTGCCCCAGGCCCCCCAGGTGGGCAGGTAGGCAGGGAGGGGTGCAGCAGAGCCCCGGGGATGCTCAGCTCAGTGGGGCTGCGATATGGAGTGATTGCAGCCCTGGAATCAGACTGGAGCAGGGAGGGCTGCGAGGGAGTAGGGGGCACTGGGCTATTCCGGGGTGGGGGAGGAGGAAGAAGCGGGGTCCCAGCTCCGGTCATTCAGCCCCTCTGCAGGACCCACAGATGTTCTCTTCAGCTCCCCTTGGTTCCCACAGGGACGTTTACATCCCCCCTAGCCAGTAAGTCTAGGTAATTTTCTGATCCCTGCACCTTGGAATCACAGCTCTGGGGGCATTTGGGCCCTGGTCCAGTGTTGAGGGGGCTCCCAAGATCTGTTTTTTCTCAAGATGTTGTGTCTGAGCCCTGCCCCCAGACCTGGAGTGTCTGGCACAGCCGATGGCCAGCTCCTCTCTGGCTGTGTCCCCCGGGCTCCGTTCCTCCTCACGTTGTCCCTCATGCCCCAGCCTGGCTCAGGGGTCTCCTCGTGCCTCTTGAGCTCCAGGTGTTCAGAAGAGGATTTGGGTTGCCTGTGCTGGGCCAGCAGCCCTGTTGGCTCTGTGGCTGCAGGACCCTCTGTGGGCTCTCTCCCTTTGGTGCTCCCCATGGTTGGAGCCCCTGGGACCCCCACAGGGGTCATCTCACTGGCCAAGTCTGAATGACCAAGTACTGAGCCCAGGTGAGTGGGGATGGACCCCGGGTGTGAGCAGCTGCTCCCAGGTGGAACCAGCATCATTCCCTGAACGATCTAATCCCGACAGGATCTGGGTCATGAGGGATGTGGGAATGCTCTCAGGCTGCTCCCTGCTCCCCTCTGCACAGTCCCAGCTGCAGGCTGAGATGGGCCCTCCCTCTTCAGGGGGGTGCTGGGGCTTCATGTCCCCAGCCTGTGCTTTGGTAAGATCCTCCCAGGTGAGGAGCTCGGTGGCAGCAGGTGACAGCTGTGAGAGCTTTGCCTCTGGCCTGTTCCCATCTCACAAACCTTCCCCGAATCAGCCATGCCCTCCTAATTCCCCTTGGTACTGCTGTGAAAGAAAAGGGTACCCAAATCACCTGTGGGTGTCCTGGGTGAGCGACTCCTCACTGTCTGCATCTTCCCACACGGGGAATTGCATGGAGGAGGGAAAACCCCAAATCTGAGCAGATCAGTTACCTTGTCTTTCCAGAGAGGGGGATGGGAGAGACGAGATCTTGCTCGAACAGTCAAAGTAAGTTGCATTTGCTTTTCCCTGCTCCTCAAGGTCAGCCTAGCTAATGAAAATCAATCTTCCCTCTGCCTCTCTCTGCTGCATGAGCAGATTCTACCTGTCGCCCCTTCACCTACTTGAAAGCAGCAGCTACCCCGTCCTGCCGAGCATGGGCAACGCCGGAGGGAGCTTCCTCCTGGAACGGCATCTTCCTGCGGGCCCGGGCACAGCGACAATATCCGTGGCATGGAGGGATCACTCCTGTGATCTGTCCTCTCTGTTCCGGGGAAGCTGGCTGTGCAGGGAAGCACGTATCCCACGTGGAGATCTGGGCTGGAAGTGGTGGGCTCTGGCATGCAGTGAGTGATGTCCATCCTCTGGGCACTCCTGGGCAGCTCTGTGTGCAGGTGGCCGGAGCAGAGCTTTGTGTCTCCCTCCCTCCCAGGGCCGGGAGCTGTCCCGTGGCTCCTGTGCCCTCTCCTCTCCTCTCCTCTCCTCTCCTCTCCCAGCCCCACTGAGGGTTCTCCCTGGCGAGGTCTGGCAGATGAAGGTTTGGAGATGGAGCTGCTGCCATGGGGTCAAGCTTGCCAGGAAGGGGAGTGGTGGGACATGGAGTCCCCCCTGCCCCATCCCACGATCCTCAGCAGTGCTGATGTTCCTGGGCATGGCAGGCTCTGCTGCCAGCAGCGCCACCCGGGAAGGGCCATGTCCTGAAAACAACAAGGGCAAATGGCACAGCAGGGGGTGTGAGGGGTATGACAGGCCTTGCCTGTGCCAAGGCTGCCTTTCCTCCTGTCTGTGCCGGGTTTGAAGGGAAACCTGCCCTTCCCAATGCTCCTGATGGGGGCAAATTGGCTCCTGGGCTGGGGATGGGGTAGTGGGATGCTGCAGTCCACCAGGACTTGGAGTCTGTGGGATAGTCCTGTCCTTGGCCAAACATAGGGCTCATTAGTTGCAATTTCATCCCTGGAAGTGTTGGTGGTCAACACTTGGTGGTTCAGTGGTAAACATGGTGGTGGTGGTGGTGCTGGGTTGATGGTTGGAGTTGCTGATCTTAGAGGGCTTTTCCAGCTTCAACGATTCAGTGATTCTAATTTGTTACTGCTGCTGCCTGGAGTTAGAGAATCTGTGTTCAGATTCCCATCCCAGTGCTCCCGGTGTGTGCAGGGAATGGGAGCAGAAGGCTGCTCAGGGTGTGCTGGGAACCTCCAAACCAGAGAGAGCCCCTGCTCTGAGGGAGACGCCGTTCCCAGCTCTGTCATGCCTCTGGATCAGTCACTGCTTCCTATTTCCCCTCCTCTGGAGAGGGCCAGCACGTGTCCCTGGGGAAGGAGAAGGAGGTGCTGGTGAGGGGTGGGAAATCCTCTGGAAGGACACAAGAGGCTCAAAAGCACGGAGAGAGACTGTGCCCACCGGGGTCGAGGGGCAGATCCGACAGCCCTTCCCTTGGGATGTGTCCAGCCTAAGTGTTCCCAGGCACAAAACTACTCTGGGTCTGATTGCTGGAAATGGTTTCATTTGGAGTTTTCCAGCCAGCCTTTGTGTCCTGCTTTGCTCTAATGGAAGGTGTCCCTGCCCATGGCAGGGGGCTGGAATGAGATGAGCTTTAATGTCCCTTCCGTCCCAAAGCAGTCCGTGATTCAATGATTTGGATGGACATAACAGGGATATTTTCTCTCTTCCTGCCCCATCCTTTAGGATTTTTAGATGTGCCCTGATGCCGCAGGGTCTCCTGGCTCCTGGAAATGCAGCTCTCTTCCAGCGTGGCTGAACTCAGCTGTGACGAGACCATGGACCCACCCGCCGAGGATTTCCAGCAGGTCCTGTCCATCGACCAAATCCGCTCCATCCGTGCCAGCAACAACTACGTGGAGAGACCGGCGGCGTGCTTCCAGCAAGCCCGCTCCAACCCCTCGCTGTCGCAGCCCTCGCACAAGCAGGAGTGGTCCCAGGACCGCCTGGCGTCTTCCACCTTCCAGGACCTGCACCGCAGCCACAGCCAGCAGCACCAGATGCCACCTCTGCAGCCGCACCTGAGCCACTCGAGCACGGCCAGCTCGGTGTCGCAGAGCACCACGGCCTCCGAGCAGCGCCTGCTGAGCAGCTTGACGCCGTCGCACTCCGGGCACTCGCTGGTGCGGACGCAGCCCCGCGGGGCTGAGCTGAAGGCGGAGGAGTCCCCGCGGAAGGGCGCGGAGCCGCCGCCGGCGCACGGGCACCTGCTGCTGTGCGAGGCGTGCGGGCGCTGCCGCTGCCCGCGCTGCACGGCCGCCCGCAGCCTGCCCTCCTGCTGGCTCTGCAACCAGCGCTGCCTCTGCTCCGCCGAGAGCCTCCTCGACTACGGGACCTGCCTCTGCTGCGTCAAGGGGCTCTTCTACCACTGCTCCACCGACGACGAGGACACCTGCGCCGACGACCCCTGCTCCTGCGGGCCGGGCTCCTGCTGCGCCCGCTGGGCTGCCATGAGCGTCCTGTCCCTCCTCTTGCCCTGCCTCTGCTGCTACTTTCCCACCCTGGGATGCCTGAAACTTTGCCAGCGGGGTTATGACGGCCTGAAACGCCCCGGCTGCCGCTGCCAGAGCCACACCAACACGGTCTGCAGAAAGATCTCCTCGGCCAGCGGCACGCCCTTCCCCAAAACGCTGGACAAGCCGGTATGACCCTCCCGAGGAGGAGAAGCGGGCTTTGCTCCTCTTCCTCCCCTTCCTCCTCCTCCTCTTCTTTCCTCCATCCCCCTTCTCCCTCGGCTCCCTCTGCTCTGCAGTGCCCCTCCCTCCCCACTATCACGTTCCAGGATTAAGACGGGTGACCTGGGGGATCCCCCAGGCTTTGGGATGCCCCGGCTGGGTGGCCGGGGGAGCTGGCACTGAGCTGGGGGGTACCAGTGGTTTTGCACATGCAGGAGAGAGACAGAAGAGGCAGAGCGAGCTGAGGGTGCCCTCCCTGGCTGTGTCCCACAGGGAAATGTGACCCAGAGGGTCCTTGGGACTCTGCCCCCATGGCCAGGGTACCTGAGGCCCCTCAGGGCTCTGCTCTCCGTAGTTTTAGGAGCTGTCCCACACTGTGGTCCTTATCCGTAGGGAAGGAGATGCAGGTCAGTGCATCCCTGTGCTAGAGTCCCTCGGGAGCCAGACCCCTCCTCCCTCTCTTTCTCCCTCTCCTGCACTTTCTGTAGGTGGCCTTTCTCCCCTCAGGTGGCCACAGGTCCCTTTCCCCAAGGGGCTGGGGTGCCAAGGGGTCTCACCAGTGGCAGTGGCTTCCCTCCAGTCTTGGAAGCCACTGGGAGAAGCGAGCGAGCTCCAAAATGAGGTGGCACCATGTCTTTCTATCTCAAAGAGGAAGAGAAGGTGTGGGAAGCTTTAGAAACCTTCTGGCAGGGGAAGGAGCTATCGGAGGCAGCCCAGCCCACTCTCTCCTGCCCGACTGCAGCAAGGGAAAGGTCCCCTCTGGGATTTGGCTGAGAACAAGGAGCTGCTTGGAAATTGCCATTCATTTCTCCAGGCCTTGGAGGGCTGCCTGAGGTGGGAGCTGCTGCCTGGCTCCATCCCACCACCCAGCAGATGCCACAGGCACCAGCTCCGTGCTCGAACCCCGATCTGGTACCTTCCACCAGCACTGAATTCACTTTAAAAAAATATGGCAAAGCCAACTATGAGCAGCCACCGCTCCAGGGACTCCCCAGCGGGGCTTCTGTCACCTTGCCTTGGGCTGAAGGACATGGAAAGCAGGAGGGGGTGTTGAAGCTGGGGACCCCGACCTTCCCTGCCTGCCAAGTTTCCTTTGAGTCCTCACCTCGCTGAGGAGGTTCTGCCACTCGCTGACAGCCAGGGCTGGGGCTGGAGCCAGCCCTGGGGCCAGCCCTGGAGCCAGTCCTTGGGCCGGGCCATCTGCAGAACAGACGGACACTGCAATCCGGGTCAGGGCTCCAGGTTTCCTGCTGGGATGATAATAACCCCAACTGGTTGCTGTGGCTGGGAGACTCCTGGTGGTCCTGGGCTCAGCCCCATGTCTGTGTAGTGCCAGCTCCTGGCTGTGACCCCGCTGGCATCATTTGGGGGAGTTTGGAGCCGGGATGGTGTCCTGGAGCTCGGCTCTGCCTGCCTTTCCCCTTCCCAGGTGTGTGAGCACAAGAGGAGGCAATGGTGCTCCTGGAGGAATATATGCAACACATCCCTTGGCTTCTCCAAGACCCAGCTCCCAGGGCCCGTCCATCACCTCCTCCCATCTGCCTCTTTCCGTAGAGTTCTGTGGATCTATTTTTGTAGATATAAATATGACGTTAGTATGGGTAGGTCTATTACTAATAATATTCATGATACTGCTGTGAACGGTGCCAGGTACAAGGTTTGGCTTCCTGGTGCACTTGCACAGGCTGGAAAAGATGATTTCCCAGTCAGTTTATTGCTAATCCCAGATCCTTTGCTCCCAGGTTGTCGGGAGTGGGGGAAATGGAGGTGTACAGATTGTCTGAAGGTCTGCACTGCAGGGAGGGTGGAATTCAGTGCTGGCTGAGAGGTGAGGCAGAAGTGGAATCTCATTGTGGGACTCCTCTTTCCATCCATTCACTTTCTAAAAATCGTGGTGGATCCAAGCTCCCTCTGTTGCAGGGAAAAGTGGTTCCAGGGAGTGATTCATCCCTCTTGGAAGCATTATTCATTAAATCCTCTGCTGGCTGTGCCCGGCTCCCCTGACTCAAATGGCACCCAAACATTGAACTCCAGGCTCCGTGGGGAAGGGGGGATGAATCCCATGTCTGGTGGGAGGTTTGTGTAGGAGAATGTTATGGACGTGAGTGAAATCCTCTCCCTGACTTCACCCAGAGCCCGAGGAGGGATGTGGAAGGATCTGTGGGTATCTCAGGATGATGCTTTTGGATGCAGAGGGATCCCCTGGCATCAGGAAAGGACAGAGCCCTATCTGGGCATGGTCCATCCCTAAGGCCAGCCTGGACTCTGAAATCAATTGGATTTTAAGGCCATGATCTTTTCAGAAGATGCCCTGTAGGTGTGTGAACCCCTCTAAGATCATTCCTGTGGCAACAAACATAAAATGCATTGCTAATACATTTATCCTTATGCCAATAATTGCTTGGCTCCCTACTTGCAAGCGATGTTGTGGGGAGACACTTCCTCACAGAGTCTCCTTCCTTTGGAAGGCTCAGTTCACTCTTCTATTGGTGCTGATTAAACTCCTTCTTCATAAAAACCAGAGAGCATTTTTAGGGAGAAAAGGTCCCTTTTTCCCTGTGGGTTGGAGGAACTGTCTCCCTTGAATGAGAATGAGAAACAGTTCATTGAAACTTTTTAAAGAAAACTAATGAACAGAATTTTCCAACTTGCTCTACTTTGATTTTTTTTTCCTCCTCCTTTTTAAACGGATCCCACTTGTAAATTTAGTTACCACCTCTGTATCTTTGCAATTCATTGCTTCCTCTCCTGATGGTGGAATGACTCAACATGTGAAGCTTCATCATTTTCACGGCCTCCCAAGTCATGCGAGCGCGGGGTGACCTCCCCCAGGTGCTGGAGCTGGGGGATGAGGAGAAGGCTGTCCATGGATCAGCTCCCCAGAGCCAGCTCTGCTTGGCACAGCAGCAGCACAGTGACCTTCAGCAACTGGGGGGAGGCCAGGACTGCCAGGACCCTCCACCTAATGGGCTTTTTCTGGGTCAGTGCAGAAGCTCTCTTCCTACCAGGGAATGGTGCCACAGTCTGGTGAGGGCTGAGGAGCACGACCAGGGCTCTGGAATGTCTCCTCTCCATGAAATGACAAATCTGGGGGATACATTTCATTAAAAACTGGACATGTAGAAGGGGAGGGATTTTAAAAGCTGTGGACATGGTTTAGTGGTGGCTTACAGTGCTGGGTTAGTGTTTGGACTCAGTGGTCTTAGAGGGCTTTTCCAGCAGGAATGATTCCATGGTTCTAGGAAATGGAGAGGACAAGAGCCCCAGCTGGCACCGAGGGCTGTGGGATCAGAGCAGGGCTTTGTTTTCACCGAGGGCAGACACAAAAGCCACATCCAGGACCTGTGGGGGCTGGAGGAGTTCAGCTTGCTGGCCTCTGCCCTGCCCATGGGGGCAGATGGCTTCACCTGGAATTCCTGCTGCCCACTCCAGCTGGGGATCCTCAGCACATTTCTCCTCCTTGCTCTCAGCAGTCAGGCGAGGTTGGGAAGCACCAAAAGCTGTCCAAGGAGAAGCACCCAAAGCTCTGGTTCACCAAGCTCATCCATGGTGGGGAAGGCTGTGGGCAGGCTCAGATCCTTTCCTTGAGCTTTTCCCAACCTCCTCTGACCAGATCCATCCTGCTCCATCCCCAGTTCGGCTTCCAGGCTGTTTGGTTTGCCCATGGAGAGGGCCCCGGTTCTGGTTGGGGTTGGGAGCCCCTTTCCTGCCCCACCCTCCATGAGTCAGATCCCATCTGCTCGGGGTGTTTGTCTGCAGCTGCCTGTCCCAGCAATTGGGTTTTCTCTCTGTCCTGACGTGTCTTTTTTGGTTTTCTTTTGGGAGCGTCACATGTGGAGCCCTCTGCTCTCCCACGGGGATGGATCTGCATTGTGAGGGAGCGTTCCTGGGCTGTTGTCTTCCCTTTGCCAGAGAGCATGCAGGGCTGGGGGCAGACTGGAGCAGGGAAAGAGATTCAGGTGCCAAAGGAGCAGGATGCAGGAGCTGCTGAGCAGGACCTGAGCTCCCCCTGCTCTGCTCCCCATCCAGAGCCTTCTTTTCCCACCCAGGAGTCCAAAGCTCCATCCATGCAAGAAGCTGTGATGTTTTTTGCTTCCTCCAAGGCTTCCCTTGGTCCCTTTTTCCCCACTGGCAAATCAGTCCCAGCAAAGGTGGGGAGGGGTCATGGGGAGGGGTCAGGCTGGAGTGTCCCTCCCATCCCACCACTCCTGGTGGAAGGGCCAAAGAGGTCCTTGGCTTGCTGTCCACTCATCCTTGAGAAACATCAGTGCCTCAAAGAGCAGGGGGAAGCTCTTTGTGACTCACAGATTCCCATAAAATCCCACTGAGTTCACTCCTGCCCATCCCCAGGGGTGAACCCTGATGGAGGGAGGACAAATGCAGTTGACCAAAAGATGCCAAAGCCTGGAATCTGAGATTAGCAACGGCTCTGAAGTGTGGTAGAGAGGGGTGAGCTGGGTTTGAGGGGAGCTGCTGTGGGATTGGCACAGGAAAGGAACCCACTGTGCCCTAAACTCCTGTTCCCAGCACCACTGCTGTTGCTCTTTCCTGGGCTGTTCTGAGGCTGGAGAAAGCTGGGAGTGCTCAGACACTGGGAGGTCAAATGTTTGTGATAGGGATGTGATAAGGGCTGACCCCCACCCCAAACCTCACTCTTGGTCTTTAACGGGATCCAGTTCAGCCTTGGCTCCTCCAAGGAACCCATGGTGCCCATGGGATACTCTCTGATCCAGTTGGCCCAAACCACCCTGAGCTGGGACCTCTTGGGCTCAGTTTGCTTTGGGTATTTCCCCATGAGCACCAGAATCTCTTGCCAAGACTCCTGGAGTCACGTTGGGAGTGAAGCTGGGATCTGTTCTCCTGCTTGGGGTGACATTGCAGAAGTATCTCCTGAGGACACAGTCCCGGGGCTCCTCAGAGGGGCACTGTAGGCACGAGGGGTTTTGGATGGATGGGAAGGGGTCACAGCCCGCCAGGGCAGCGGGAGGCTCTGGGTCCCTCTCCTGCTGTGCCCAAAGGGCTTTGTCATGAGCAGGACTTATCCCACCCCAGAGCTGGGCCTGGGACAGGAGGTCCCACAACCTCTGTGCCAAGGTCACCCCAAGTCCCAAGCCTGGCCCGTCCCCACCTTGCCCCTTTCCCCCTTTTCATTGGGATATCTCCTGGCAGGAGCTCCTCATCCTCCTCCTCCTCCCCCGGTGTCCTCAGCACAAAGCTCTCCTTGGAAGATCCCCCTGGTCTCCACAGGACAGGCCCAGGATCCCAAGGCTCCCATCCCGGGTTTCTGGGTACAAAACCCTTCTGTACAGCCTGTAAAGATCCCTCCCTGGCTCTCTCCATTCCAGTTCCTTTCTTTAAGGTATAATATATGTTTATAACCTGATGGCTGTTTTTTTGACAATACTCTTGTACCTTTTAAGAGGAAAAAAAGTTTAGAAACCAAAGTATTTATTTGAAAAGTTTATTTTAAAGATAAGAAAAAAAAACTATTTATTTTACTGCACCCTCTTCTGTTTGGTTTTCTTCTCTTGCAAAGCTGATAACTGTTACAGAACCACTGCTGAGGTGAAAGAAGTGATTCTATGGGTGGCTTCACAAGCCCACTTAGAGCAACTATTCAATAAAAATATATATTAATTTTGAATGTGGTCTTGTTCTTGTCTCCATGGTGGTCAGGGCATGGCTCAGGCTTTGTCTGGGGTGCTGGATGGCTGGGCAGGGACTGAGAACTGGAGAGATTATCCTGGCTTCCATGAGGTCTCCTCTGGGAGTCTTCTGCTGCTCAAGCCTTCAAAATTCAGTGTGGGCTTCCCTGCTGCATCTGCCCCTGGAAGGGCTGGCTCAGGTGGCAAAGGGCAGGAGCAAAGAGGGGGAGATTAGGTAAGGAATTCCTGAGTGCTTGGGGCTTTCAGTCACCCACAGACATCTCAACGTGCTCCCAAAGTCTCTCCCACTGCCAGAGGAGGGATGCCAGAGGGCCATGGGTGTCTTCTGCAGGAGGTGCTGCAGCTGCCACCTGGCTCCTTCCCCAGCAGCTGCTGAAGGCACCTTGGAGGTGGGTTTAGCCCAAACCAGGAGGAATTCGGGCCACACCCCAGCAGCTCCTGGGCCAGGCTGGTGCCTCTGCTCCCTGTGCACACCTCAGAGCTGTGGACCCCAAAGCCCTGCTCATCCAGAATGCAGACATGCTCATCCTGAGGGCTCTCTGCTCCCCGGGTGCTCTTCTTTCACACAGCTGCTGGAGCTTTCCCCCAGCACCTCCAGAGCATGAGGCCCTTGCACACAGATTTGGTGGCTGATCAACCCCGTGGTTGGTGGCACCCCCATTATTCCTCTTTCATTTGTTGGCTTCAGTGCCTACCCCTAGGCTTGGGCGCTGAACCTGTTTTCTCTCTCTGCAAAAGTCCTTCTTTTCCTAGGAGGGTTTCCCTAGGCCAAACTTGTGCTGAAGAGCATTCCCGACCCCTGTTCTGAATTAAACCCATGCACTCTCCACATCTCTCACCACAAACCCTTTTCCCAGGCTGGTTCCCTGTTTCTCCCTGTCTGTGGCATTGCTGGTATCAGATCCTGCTTTCCAAAATCGGTTCCAACGCCTCATCCCCAGCATCCAGGATCTGCCTGAGGGCTCTGGAGCACAGATGTGAGTCTAATCCCTGCTGTGACTCACTCTTCCCCTGCTTTTCAAACAAAAGATGGCACCGGGCCATTTGTCACCCATTGGCTCCTTTCAGTGCCAAAGTCCCTCTCCTTTGGACAGAGCCAAGCACTTTCATTCCCAGATGTGCAGCTTTCTGTTAACGGTGTTAGAGCCCTATTGGTGCCTATAGTGCCACCTTCCCAAGCCTTCCTTGTCCTCATGCCACCAAATTTCCTGGCATCTCTGGGTCTCTCTCCTGTGGTCCTGTGGAGGAAGGCTCAGGAACTGAACTGCAACGTGAGACAGTGACCTACAGACCATGGTAATCCAAAACAGATGTTAATTGCTCACTTGAACATTTTCCTTCTGTATGAAGGAAGTCACAATGGTCCCAGGAATGACAAAAAACCTGCAAAAATTGTTGGGTTTTTTTTTCCCCTAAGATTAGGGCGATTCTTTGAACTACACAGTCATTTTCTGTTTTGCATCCACGTGAGGACGAGGAGAGACTCCCCAGGCTTGAACACCCCATGGCACCTACCCCCGTGAATTCGGGCTCTGAGCCACCCAGAGGGTTTAGCCTGGAATAAGACCCCAGCTGTCCTTGGCTGACAGAGGTTGTTCAGAGCTGAAATGTCCTGTTCTGTCCTGTCCCAGGACCAGCGCAGCCTGAGCAAGCTCAGCTCCGTGAAACCCTTCTCAGACACCGACTATGTTTTCCAGAAGTGCATTTCCACCTTCCTGGTGTTGAAATCTTCCCTTGCCCAGAGCAAGCGAAGTCAGGCCAAGCTCAGATCCCCCTGAGGACGCCCAGGTGTGATCCAGCCCCGTGCCTGCTGGAGCATCCCTCGCAGCCCGGGAAGGTGCCTGGCGGGCTCAGGAGAGCCGGGGAAGGTGTTTGCAGTCAGAGCTTGGCTGTCTAGACAGGAGAGAGAGAGGAGCCCTCAGAAGGAGTCATTCATCTCTTCCTAAGATGGCTAAATAGGTCAGATGACTCATGCCCTGAAAGTGCCGATTTCTCTGTGCTGACTACAAAGAGGGAAGGAGCTCCCGCCGTCCCCCCGCGCTGCAGACACCGAGGGGAGCGGATCCGAGCCTGCCTGGTGGATGTGCCCTGGCTCAGCAGGGAATTCAGCCTCCCCGGGGATCCTCAGTGCTGCTTCTTCAGGGATGCTGATGAGGAGACAGACGATTAATTAAACACGGGTGGGTTTTGACTTGTGCTGAAGGTGATGCCTGTAGGAACCTGGGTGTGCAGAGCTGGGAGGGATGGGGCAGAGGGTCTAGCCCAGTTCCCTGCTGTCACCCTCGGCTGTAGGGACCAGGGGCCAGGAGTTCAGGCTGGAGGGATTTGCACAATGGCTTCTCCACCATCAGAAACCCTTTCCTGCTTGGCCATGGTCGTTCTCTGGTTAGGGCTGAGGGCACCTCTGCTCTGACACCTCTGGCCTCACAAAGCCAAGACTGCTCTGGGCAGAGACAAGGGCCACTTTTGTGTTGCCCCACCACTGTTCAGAGCTGCTCAGTGCAGAGTGAGGTTTAGGAATCCCTGGAGGCATCACAAGGTTGAGGGGACAGCTCTGAGGGCAGCCAGGAGCCTTTGGAGTACCCCCGACAAGAAATGAGCCGCTCAGGAGGGTGGCCTGTGCTGTGATTGCAGCCCTGGGGTATGGGGGATTTGCTCCCTGCAGGAAGGAGGGTCTACAGGACCCCAGTGTGCACAAAAAGGACAGTTTGCACCTTCAAAAAACCCAAAATGCCTGCGGGTTTCAGCACTGCCTGGATATTACTCTGGCCACACTCTGGCCCTGCAAAACATCACGAGATTGGCTTAAAAATCAAGATGCAGCTCACAGCAGATTCTTGTTTTTCGCTGCTGCTTTTGGAGGCTGACTGAGTCATGCTTACAAGCCTCCCCTGCCAGACAGCAGGGCTGGCAGCTCGCTGGGCCGTGGGGCGAGCACGGGATCCTCCCGTGGGCCCGAGCGGGGCCTGGGGACAGCCTGGTCCCCCCTGGCGTGCACTAGCTGTGCACAAAATGGCCAAGGATCCTAAACTGGGGATGCTGCCCGACACCCAGCAGGGGTGGGAGGTCCATCTTCTCACTTTAGCCCGGTCACTGGCAGGCTCCTTCCTCTGGCCACCTCGCTTTGGCCTCAGCAGCCGCCGGTGCTCGAGCCACGGGGCTCAGGGGCATCCTGGGGTCCGGCCGGGTCCCAGCCCTGGGCCAGCAGCTGCAGAGCATTGCAAAGCTCTCCACTGGTGTCTGAAGTGGGAATTTTTTCCCCTGGCTGGAGACCCCTCACCAGGGTGTTCCCTGGCCTCCTTCCTCTCTGTGTTCTGCTCCTAGGATGCACCTGAGGTTCAGGATATTTCTTCAAGGCACATCTAGAACAAAACTGTTTTCCTGACGTAGAAGTCCAAATCCTCCTGGGGAGCTTCTAAAGGATTTATTTCCTGTATTCACTTCCCCTGTGCCTTGCTGCTCTCCATGAGGACATTTGCATGGTACAATAGGATCTCAGAGTTTTGATGTGCAATTATCATCTGCAGAAATGACTAATCAATTAAGGACAGTCACTCCCAGGCTTTCTATTTATTTCTTTCTCATTGAAACCAGAGCAAATGTGCCCTTTTTTCATGGGGAAATGATGTTTTTTTCCAAACGTGCCTGCTAAAAACTTCCCAGCGGATCTGAAAATGACATCATGCCCTTCTTGGTGCTCGCTGTTGTCACTGTCAGCGCTGAGCTGGCCCTGCTGCTGACAACAAGTCCCTGTCACCAGCCCTGCCAGCTCAGCAGTGCCAGCAGGAAGGGGACACACCAGGAATGGCTCGGATCACACTGGGAGAGCAGCTCAGGCAGGTAAAAAGTGCCCAAAGTGAAAGCAAGAGTGAAGACACTCCATCTTAAAGGTGGTGAACTCTGAGGGGAGATAGGGACTCTTTACAAGGACATGGAACAACAGGACAAGGAGAATGTCTATAAGCTGCCAGAGGGCAGGGATGGATGGGATATTGGGAAGTAATTCTTCCCTGTGAGGGTGGCAGGCCCTGGCACAGGGTGCCCAGAGCAGCTGTGGCTGCCCCTGGATCCCTGGGAGTGTTCCAGGCTGGAGCAACCTGAGATACTGCAAGGTGTTTCTGGCCATGGCAGGGGTGGAATGAGATGATCTTCAAGCTGCCTTCCAATCCAACCCATTCCATGATTCCATTATCGGCCCAACCTTCAGCAGCTGAGGGGGAAAATGGACTTCAGAGCAATGAACCAAGGGAGAAGGAGGTTCAGGTCCTTGGCACCTGCATGTAAGGACAGGCAGATGCACTTGGGAAGGGGCTGTGCAGGTGAGAGGCTGGGCATTGTCACCATCATAGAATCTTCCACCCACACACCTCTCTGCTCTGCCTGCTCATCCCACTGTTCCCAGAGCCCCTGGTGACCCTGAGCAGGGGCACAGAGCTGGGTGTGGCCTGGAGGCTGAGCGGGAGCTGAAAGAGAAGCGGAGCTGTTTTGTAACAGCCTCCCCTGGGGACGGATCACACCACACTGGAGAGCGCCTCCGGAGAGGCACGGCAGGCACGGAGGTGACCAAATGAATTGACACCAGGCAATTCTCAGTGGAGCTCCAGAGACAAAGTAATTGAAAATAAATGAAGGAACATGACACCTGGCTGGCAGATCAGTTATCTATAGCGTCCCTTTCCTGAAATAACTGCCTCCCAAACTCTGTCCGCCGAGGCAAAGCCAAGGAGATGCTCACGTAAAATAGGCCACTCCAGCAGGGACTTGGAGGCCCCTTTATTTTTAATGGAAGCTGCCAGAAGGGTTAATTGGATGGTGTGTGGCAGTGCCCTCCATCTGGGGATCGCCCGCCCTTGCCCCCACCACCTGGAACGCTGAGGATGAGGTGCTGTCCTTGGGCAGCACTCGGTCACAGACCAGTGCAAGAGGGGGTTTTCCTGGTTCTCCAGCCCCAGACACACCAGGGTGTGCTGCTCTCACC